ATTATTAATACCTTTTTTTAAAATAAAAATGCTAAAAATGAATATAAATATATTAACAGAATAAAATTATTTTTAGTATATAAGCAGAATATTAATATAGTAAAAGTTAAATATTAACATTTTTTTATAGAAAAGAGATAGAGATGCAACTTTATGACAATGAGAGAGGCTCAAGTTTGGTAGATGAAGCAGGTTTGACTATGATTACAATTCGTTTTTGTACCTTATCTAAAGGTGATAGAACATCATTAGAAGTACTGACCCAAATATGACAACAGTTTTCCATACAGTGGCGAATGAGAGGATTCTAGAGGTCGAAAATAGAATCTGGAGTATGAAAATGGCAAGCTTGTTAAAGAGAAGCAACCTTAACAGATGCTAATTTAGCAATCAATTGTATATATGTTTTTCATGAAAGGTCAGTTGCGAGTGGTAATCCAAAAAGATGTAAAGAAGTGGATCAGCGAGAGGGTTGCTGCTCATCATTTATTGATGACATTGATATTTGAATGTTGATAGTATTACAATATCGTTTGTTAGCAGTTGCAATATTGCTTGTTTGCATCAATTGTTTGCAGTAAATAAATGAGTTTTTTTTAGGGTTAAATTTCACATGGCAATCTCTGTTACAGTATATGCTTTAGTGAAATCAGTTGTTCTAAGATCAAAAAAATAATACTTTTTGTTAAGATAGGAGTTTAAAATTGAATCATCAGCAGAGCTGATGATTCAACTTTAAATATCACTTATATCACTTTAAACACTTTAAATATAAGGTTGTCAAGAAGATCAATAATGTAAATAAAAAACAAAACAGGATAGAACCATGAGATTTCTTAGAATAATTGGACCATAGTTGGAGGGGTCATTTACTCCAAAGAATTAAAAAACTGAAACCACTGATGCAATTTTCAAATTTTCAGAGAGAATCAAAGAAAGTTCTAAAAAGATGTTGAATCAGATATTGATGTTGAATCAAGACAAATGTTTTACTTGAACAGGCTTCTGTATTTTTTTAAATAGTGATTTTTGATGATTAAAAGAACTTAAAATAATTTTAAACAGTTTTACAAAAAGCAAAAATACTGTAAATTATTCCTCTAGATTGCACAAAATATTTGATCTTTCTTGCCTTAGGTTCATATTTTATTCTTTAGTTTGTACCTTGAAATTGAAGTAACTTTAATAATAATAAAAAAAAGTATTTTTATGATTTATGTTATTAGAAAAGTGTTAATTTATATGTAATTTTATGTAACTTATATGTTAATTTATATGTAACTTATTTTTATGTCTAAATTTTTATTTAGACATAAAAATAAGTTTAAATAAGTTTTTCATAAAATTACATTCCTACCATTTCACATGAGTTTTTAATTTTATCTGTTTTCATTCTGAGCCAATAAAGAACTACAAAAAAAACTTTCTAACAGTTTCAAAAATAGCTATAAATTAGGTAAATTTAACTGTCAGTAGTTTGAATTATCATTACTTAAGTTATAAATTGTATATGTTCTTCCATATTTTCATTGATTGTGTTTTATATATATATTATATATATATATATATATATATATATATATATATATATATATATATATATATATATATATATATTTATGTGTGTTATATATGTTCTAATGTGTTTTTTAAATAACAACCTACAAATATTAACTTGATAAATATTTTTGTATATTTAAATTTTCCTTTAGTAAATTAACATATATTAAAGTTAATGTGTTTTATGATTTTAGAGTCTAAAGACCTCTTGTCGCTTGTTCTTAGAAATGATATTGATAGATAAACCCTGAAACCTAGTGTTTAACTTTTAAATCATAAACTAAGAGACACAGCAAATTGGGAACTGCAAATCATTTTTTTAATTGGAAGGAAAAACATACAATAACAAACAAAATGCTTGAACTTAAGGGTAAGTTGTAATTTTCTTTTATTACACCAAATTACCAAGAAAGCTTAAGGCAAAAATTGATTTAATAAAAGTTTACCAACAGAGTGAGAAAATGGGCTAACAGAAAACTTATTACCAGAGCTAGAAAAAATGCCTTTTAGAAATAACAAAATCAAAATTTCATGACTTATTGGGTGGACACGGAAAAATCCGGTCAATTTTAAATTGAGATTTCTCTAAAACCATAAATGCTTTTTATTTCAATTTTTTTATTATTAAATGTGTTTACATAAATTAGATTTTCAACTTAATTTTAAGGGGCTTGATGGGTTGTTTGGCAAGAGATCGAACTTTATAGCAGGTTGATGCCATCATTTCGTAGATTTTTTCTTTTTTCACCTTATTGGTGGCATTAATCCACTTTTTTTGGAATTGCTTTTGTATTATTTGTTACTCCACCTGCCTTTCAAAGAACTCCTTTAACTATTGCCCAAAAACTTCAATCCTGCGCTCTTCAGGACGATTTGGAGGATTCACGTCTTTAGGAACAATTTTCACACCATTATCTTTGTACCACTGTAGAACTTTTTTAGAATAGTGAGAGGCAGGAAAGTTGGGCCAAAAGAGACATTGGCATTTGTGTTTTTTATAAAAAGGCAAAAGTCTTTTTGGAGGCATTCTTTGATGTAGAGATTGGCAGTCAAGGTCTTCTTAGTGACAAAACAAGAGGACTGCATACCACAGCTATAAATTGCTTGCCACACAAGGAGCTTGGATGCAAATTTTTCTTGTTGAATATATTCAAATTGATCATCGACAGGTTTATCTTTGTTCTCATAGTAAAATTGCTGACCAGGAAGTTGTAAAAAATCCGCCTTGCAATATGTTTCGTCGTCTTCAATTATGCACATATTTTTATCCGCTTTTACTTAAAACAACTTCTTTGCGCATCGAACTCCTTTAGTTTCACCATTTAAGCTTCTCTTAGATGTATTTTTCTTATAAAATGCCTTAGTTCCAGTATTTTTAAGTACTTTTTTGATATAAGAACACAAAATCTTGAATTTTCTTGCTAGATCTTGCTGTGACTAGTTTGGATTTCTTGCTATTGAACGTAAAATCGACTTTAACTTTTTGGACTTATGGAAAGTTTTCTTTCTTCCACTTCCAAGTTTTCTTTCGAAGCTTTGAGTAGTCTTGAACTTTTTTATAATATCTATGACTGTTGACTTTGGGGCATTTGTGCGTTTAGCAATCAAGTCTATGGATTTTTGAAAAAAAAAATCACAACCTTTTTACGCACCTCAATTCGTTCCGGAAACATTTTGCAAATCATTAATTTGTAAATAAAAATTTTTTTAATTAAAAATATTTCATAATAAAAAAAAATTTAATAAAAAGTATTTGAGGTTTTAGAGAAATCTCAATTTAAAGTTGACCGGATTTTTCCGTGTCCACCCGATATTAAGACTATTTTCCCATTTTTCAAGAATATTTGGTTATAAATTATAAAAACCCTCCAGAAAAAAAAAAGGTTCACAACTTGAATTTCAGAGCATTTTTGTAAATGGAAAAAGTATAAATAATAATTTTACTTATAACTCTAAAAAACTAATAATTATTGGTTTGAAGATTTTACCTTTTACAAAACCTAAATCTAAAAATAATTCTTAAAAATTAACTTTTTTAATAATTGCTTTTTTAAGTACTGAAAATTAAAAATTTGGCTTTATTAACATGACAATAAAATATCATCAAAGGAAAATGTATTTAAAAAACATTTAAAATTATGTCTACTCCTTGTTTAGCTTTTTTTTAATCAAATTTTAAACATCTTTTTTTTTATCGGACTCTTTTAAAAGTGTAGTTTTTAGTTACTCTTTTAAAAGTAACTTTACTTTTCTGCATTAGTGGCAAGCTTATCAGACTTGTTCAATAAAAAATCAATTTAACTTTGAACTGCAAACAATTTTTTAATTTTATGCCACATTTTTTTTTTCTTTTTTTAATTTTTTGCTTTTGTAAGATTTCACAGTAGCAACTGCTTGCTTTTCTTGCATGATGCTGCATCTCTTTGCCCATTTTAATGCTTTTATTTCAAGTTAAAGTCTTTTATGTCAAGTTTGAAAATAAAGTGCATCATATTTTTTGCAGCATTTTTGAGGATAAATTGTCTTTGACTATATCACCAAAAATAGTAGTCATAAATGGTACCTAAATGTTTTCTAGAAGTTAATCTGTTTGAAACCCCTACAAAGTTTATCTGTTTGAAACCCTTTCAGAAATGTGTTTTATTTCAGATATCATTTCAAAGAACTTTAATTTTGATAGTAAAATAGGATCATGTATTGCTGCTTTTCACCACTGACAACTTTTATTTATGACTCCATGTAGTTTAATTTTTTCAAGACTACCATTAAATGTTTTTATTTTGAACAGTGGGGTAACATTGGACAAAAACTCTACTAGAAAGATTTTTATCAAAAATTTATTTTCCAAAGTTACCCCACTGTTTAAAGTAACAACATTTCACGATACTAAGATATGTTACACATTTTTTGTAAATCGTCAAGAAAGGATTCAGCTTTTCATAAACAATTTTCTTTTTTGCACCAACTGTGGTTTTAAACAAACTCAAATGACTTTTGGTATAAGATTAACACTGCCTGTGCTGGTGAGTGATACTTGTTAAATACCAGATGAGCCATTTTTATAACGTGCAACTTAATTTTATTATTTTATCATAAACATTTTATCATTTAATTTAATAATATGTCACATATAAACATAACACAGGAAATAGAAATTGATTAAAAATATGACTCTTCTCTTACCATACTCATGTTTCCTAAATCAGTTATCATAGTTTAGTGTTACCCTTGCTCCGACACTTCATGGAGATTCTGATGTATATTGAAGATTTTGTTGGTTGCTTTTTTACAAGTAAGCGTTGATAGCCAACTGATCAACAGATAGTAGGCCATATCTTATGTTAGGGGTTGTCAATAAATTATGTCACACAATTTTTAACTGTTTTTGACCTCCCCACCCCCATTGTCACAAAATCGTATCACTTATGAAGCAAGTTGTCACAAAACCTTTAATCCCCTCCTCCCCCCTTGAAGCATGATGTAATTTATGAACTTATTAAAAAAAACTGTTTTTAATTCTGTTTAAAAACTTTCTGGCGATTAATAGATTTTAACTAAAATTAAGACATTTTTTTTGCCAGATAAGAGGCCTGGAATCTTTTTTTAATCACAAACTACCATGCAAATCACATGAGGTTGAAATTATTAGGTTTTAAAACCCTAAAAGTTTTATTTTTATTTTGAAATTTTCAAATTTACAAACATTATAGAGCTTTAAATCTAAAGAATGTAGTTGGATGTATATTTGACATGAAAACCATGAGGTGAAATTATTTTTAGCACATTTTTGATATATATACTTAAATATTGACCCAAATAGAACACAAAAAAGTTTATGATTAAAAATAGAGCAATGATAAAAGAAATATTTTTTAAATAATAAACAAAAACATTAAAGGAAAATTTACCATTAAGTTGCTTTTCTTTGTTATTGATTCTTAATACCTTTAGGTTTTTAATTTATATCAGCATTTAGTTTATGATTCGAAAGTTAAACATCAGTTCCTGAAGTTTAACTATCAAAATCATTGCTAATAGTATGATGTAGCAAGGATTTTCTCAAGAATCTGAATTTATGGGAAAAAAAGATTTCATCCATACTCTTAACTTGTTTTGATGCTAATATTAGTAATATACAAGATGTAATCCATATGCTTGAAGTTATTTCAAAGATTTCTAAACGGAAATTGGAGATTTAAAAAGATAACTTCAATTGTTGTTTAGATAACACATCTTTTAATTATTGTTAAGCATATAATGCATATAAAGCAATAAAAATATCAAGATATATGACTTTTTAAAAATAGCTTACATAATTTTTATTTTTTCATCAATTCTTCTAATTCAACATCTTTCAATGAACAATGATAAACTGATCCTTTGTTTTCATTGCACATTTCAATGCTCTGATGCTTTAATGTTTTTAAAAATCTATATGGCTACGAAAATAACCGTTTTTAGAAGTGATGTTTTTACCATTTGCGCTAAGCTGGTTCGAATAAAGCTTTGTTGGTTTCCTCTCTATAAACAAAATAAAAAATTGTTTAATGTTAACAACTTATTAATTGCAAATCTTCAATAAAGTAATGACCCACAAAATAATGACTCTTTCTTATATTATACTGGGCATTTCCATTTCTGTGCGTGATTTTTTATTTTTCTTTGTTTTAGCAAATTAAAAGCTGGGACTTTATGCAATATGCATACTATTTTGATTTTCTTAAAGAACAATTATAACTAAAGTATTTTTATCATATTTTAGGCTATCTGAATAAATTAAATATACACATTTTTACAATTTTATTTTTTTGAGTAATAATATTGCTACATTTTGAAAAGTTCACAATAATTTTTAAAACGTTATACTCTAGCTAGAAATAATTGATGACTGCCGTTTCTCATCGAAAATATATTAAATATGAGTCGCAGAAGTATAATATTTCACTTGAAATACTCACTAGCAATTTATTTTCATAAAAATAACTACATGAAATTGACAAATTTGCAACATCCGTGCGTGATTTCCGTGCGTGATCATTCATAAACTGCATTTAAATGATTGCTGTGACTCTATGATTCATAGTGCAATCCTGTAACATTCTGGAAATCTTTACTAATGTTTAAAATATTATTTAAAAAAAAAAATTTTCCGGTGAAACTTATATTGTCCGAGGAATTAAAGTTTATTTATCTAGTAACTAAAATAGAAGTTTTTCTGTTCCGTGCGTGATTCCATTTCAAACTTTATTTATTCTTTGTTAACATTACTAATTCTTACTATTTTTTGTTTACAAAATATTTATATTGATTAGAATTAAACGAGAGTAAATTGGAGATCGCTAGTTTTATTTTTATGAAAATAAAAGTAAAAATATATACAAGTTTCCGTGCGTGATTTTTTGGAAGCGCCCTACTGCATTTTAACCAATTACCCTTGCAAACTTATTTGATAGTTTTAAATTAATGATAACGACTTTGGTTTTACATAATTATGAAACATGAAAAACAAACATTTACAAAATCTCTTATATTTTTTCTTATATTTACTCTTATATTTTCTTCTTTTTTATCTCTATTTATTATATTTCCTAGTAATAACTTTTTTTTGTTGCAATAAAACAATTATTAAATAAAATATACCTATATTATATATAGCTTGACTAGCAGGAGTAGGAAGTAACAAAAAAAACGCTTTCAAAAGTTATTTATCACTATTTCTGGATTTTAGTGCCAACAAACTATAAAAGTGCTGAGATGTACTACTTTATAAAAAATCTCAATATCGTAGATTATCCTGGCCATATTTTAAAAATCCGGAAACTTTTTTTCCTCAATTATCCGGAAAATTTGTAATATCCGGAAAAAATGCGGAATTTACAAAGAAATGTTAACAAAGAGGGAGGGAGTGTGCTCTCCTCCATCTTTTATATTTTTAATATTCATTCCAAACAGTGGTCATAAATCTGAAGAAATGAGCAATGTTGTAATGGATTTTCTTAATTCACACAATATACCAATTGAATATTGTCGTAGTATATGTATGTCAGTTTTAATTAACAAAGTAGTTAAAATTGACGTATTCCTCGCATTGTCGACAATGCGAGGAATATGCCAGGTAAGTATTCTGGATTGCAATCAAGAATTAAAAGTTTTAATTCATTTGCAGAGTATGTATCATGTTCTGCACATTCTCTTAAGTTGGTCGGAACGTGTGCAGGAAAAAGTTGTAATTCTGTTACTTCATTTTTTATGCTTATCCAGGAACTATACAATTTTTTTTCTAGTCCTACTGCACGTTAGGACATTTTAAAAACATATTTGATAAAAAAATCTTAGTGTAAAAAATTTATCAGTAACTCGCTGGAGTGCTCGTTTTGATGCTTGCCATGCTTATTTAATTCTTATGCATTTATAATTGAAGCTTTGCATAGTATAGTTGAAAATCAAAAAGAAAAAGATTATATAAAGTAGAAGCTAATGGGTTGCTTGCAAGATTAAAAACTTTAGAAACTGGTTTAATGATATGCATATGGAATTCAATATTAAACAGGTATTTTTCACTCTATAAATTAATTATTTTTAAATAATAAATTATGCTTTCATTTATTTTATTTTATTAGGGTCAGCTTAATAGATAAATTAATATAAAGTTTAATATGATTTTAGTTTTAATGCTACAAATAAAAAATTACAATCAACTGACATTGATCTTCATACAGTATTAGACCTATATAATGGCCTTGAAAATTACTTGGTACAGATCAGAGATGATTTTGATGTTTTTGAAAATAAGGCTGTAGAAATTACTGGTTGTTTGGACTATGCCAAAGATTCCAAGAGAAAAAAAAAGAGAAAAGGTATGTTTAACTTATTAATTTTAAAATACGCATAAAATAATTTGAAAAAAGTCATAAATATTAACAACATTAACAACTATTTTTTTTTAGGCTATGGCTGATGAATCAAGATCTCAACCTCTCACAGAAATCACAGGGAAAATAGATTTTATTAGAAATGTATATTATGTGATCATTGATACTCTTAAATGTCAACTTAGTTCGAGAAGACAAGCTTATGAAAAAATATCAGATATTTATGGGTGTATGCCCACATTGTATAAAACACTGAATTCTATTGTTGTAAGAAACACATGTGAAACTTTGGCAAAATATTTTATTGATGATGTTGAAAACTCAAGCTTACTTATAGATGAGTGTATTCTTTTTTCAAAATTAATTTCCACGGATAAAAATGTAAAATCTGTTCTCTCTTTGTATAAGTACATCAAGACCAAAGAATTAGAGTGTATGTTTCCAAATTTAGAAATAGTTATGCGTATGTACCTTAGTACAGCAGTTTCAAACTGCTCAGGCGAAAGAGCTTTTTCTGTACTTAAAAGAGTAAAATCCTACTTGAGGTCAACCATGAAGGAGGAAAGACTGAATGCATTAGCAATATTTAGCATTGAAGCAGAATTGGTTGAAAAATTAGATTTTAATGATACTATTAACACATTTGCCCATTAAAAAGCAAGAAAAAGAAAAGTATAAAATAATGGTTTGTTACTTTTTGTAATATGATTATTTTATATTTTTATATATCTAAAATATATTTTGTTTAATTTTAATTTTATGTTTTTACTTGTTTTCACATAAGTATTATATACATGTACATATTGATGTGGCTATTAAACCTAAAATAAAGTTTTATTATTTATTCAAGTATCGAGTAGAGAAATGTGTACAATATATTTTTTTAATTGGGGGCACCAAATTTTTTACAGCCTATGGGCACACTATAGATCTTAATCCGGGCCTGATAATATTATGCTAGTTTAAAAGTATCCTTATTCAAGGTATATATGAATAAAAAACTACATAACTTTTTTCATCAAAAAAAATTAATAATAACAATAAAATTTTAACAATAATAATAAGAAGAAGAAGATGAAGTTAAAGAAGTAGAAAACTGTATTTAAAAGCTGTTAAACAATGCGGAAAATTTTTTAGACATGCTTTTATACATTTAAATACATAATGAATAATGAAATATTGCTTCAATTCACTAAAGATATACAAATAGAAAAACGTTTAACGCGTTGTTGCAGATCAGAGGCGCCACCATAACTAAAATCTCATGGGCGTTATTTCTTTTAGCGTTTTAGTTTTTTTGTAGTAATTTTACAAAATAAACCGACATATATCCCACACTTCAGCTTGCCAACTTCTCTTAGTAAACATTTTATTACCTGTAAAACACCAATTTTTGGAAAATATAAATGGATTTTATTTTAACTATTTTCGGAGCATACTTCAATCGCAGTAAAAAAATAGGAAATAATAATAATAAAACACCAGACTTCTAAAATACAAAAGATAAGAAATCTTTAGTAATAAATATGTTAAAAAAGAAAATAAATAAAAAGTAAAAAGATATTGAATTATTTTTCTGTAATCAGTTATTTTTCTACAATTAGTTCTTCCACTCAGTGCTTAAAATGTTCTAAACTTAATTTTTAGTACAACGACTTCTTTTATCAAAAAATCTCCAGGTTCAAATATTATAAAAGTTTCAACGTTCGTTAGATAAAGTTTAAATAAAAATTTTAAATTTATTTTATGATAAACAAAAGGTGAGGCATTATTAATGATTCACGTGCTCGTGATTCAAAATTTAAAAGATTTAAAAATATGATTTTTTTTTTTAATTGAAATAAAATTAACTTTGACACGTGCTTTTTGAATTGAAAAGAAAACGTACCTCAAAATGCGATGTTTTTAAAAACCTTGTAATGGCACTTAAAAGCAATTTGATTCACTTCTTTCTTTAAAATTACATAAAATAAAAATTATTAAAAATTTTTAATAATTACATAAAATAAAATCCTTTTAGTTTAGAATATAGTTTTATTATATAACACTTACTTGTATATAATAACTTATTACCAACAAAGTAATTAATCTTAGTCAGTAATAACAAGTTTTTTTATAAGTTTTTTCACCCTTTACGAAAATAAGTTGTACCGCACGACCATATTACACCATAGTATTACAGTAACTGTAAGATTAATAGAAGTTTCTACTAGTTGAAGGTCATACCAAATTTCTCATTCTTAGATCGAACTATACATTTAAACTCCTTAGAGATTTCACTAATCTCTAAGGAGTTTAAATTTAACAATATATATCATATTTGACGGAAATTAAAAGCTGATTTCTCTGACAGCTTTTGTATTATTCTACCATCGTCATAACTTTTTAAATACCATCGTCAAAACTTTTTAAAGTCTCCAATTAATAAGAAATTATGCGAAAAAAATGATATATTCAAGAAGTGTGTACGAATAGAGACTTGTAATGGTACGACTGGACAGAAAACGAAATAATGATGTAGTAAATTTTGAACCACCGACAAACAAACTGAGAGAAGTTTCAGTTCGTCCATAAGCGAAGTGGTTTGCTTAAAAAAAGTTTTTAAACAATAAAAAAAGAAATCTCTTTGCTAATAGCTAAAAGAGCTATTTAAAAAATGTAAATTTACAATTTTTTTAAAAAGAGAAGACTTTGACACGCATCGCTAATTTTATTTTAAAAGTAGGAGATCATTTGCACTTTTGTGCTAGGATTTTTATTAAACTTTAATTAAAATGCTTATTAATTTTTGGTTTACTCTGCGAGGGAAATCTTTTAATCTTTTTGGCTTTGTTTGTTAACTAAATATAACGTTTGGTAATTTATGGACAACAAGTTTACTGTTTATATATACTTGTTACTGTTTCATTTGATGACAGTAATAAACAGAAAAAATTTTATAAATTATATTTTCAGAAACTATTTATCTGGATAATATAAAAAGTTTAAAAAATATCCGGAATTCCGGAAATATCCGGAAAAAGATAATTCCTGCAATATTTAAGCTATAGGAAAGACTTATTAAAAAAAATTTTTAGACTGGAGTAAAAAATGTTCAGTTTTAAAACATTAAATTCTGTGGCTGTTTAATTTCTTTAAAACCAGGAACATATAGTGATTAAAAGCAGTCTTTTTTGGGACATCTTTTCCCAAAAATTACTTAAGTACTGCATTCAAAAAGCTTTTGCTTTTGTAAAAAATTTTTAAAAATATTACTTCCTTGTACATCCTTTGAAGCAATCATGACAATTCCAAAGCTCATCTTTTTTTTCAATTGCACTTTGAGGAATTCTTTCGCATTCACGATGAAACCAATTTTTGCAATTAAAACATTGAGCCATTTGCCTTAAAGAATTTGTACATATTAATTGTTTCAATAAATTTAAAGGGATCCCAAACTCCCAACACATCTTGTGTTCATATTAAAGATAGTTTAAAAAAAAAGAGGTTTGAACCAAGTTTTTTTGTTTAAAAATAAATAATGAATGCATACCGAGAAAAACTAATGTTATTGTTTTAGCCGAAGCTTGCCTTCTCCATTTTATTCAATAACTCTGAGTCTTCAAATCATACGTCGCAATCTACAGACTTTGGCAATTCCTTTGAAGCGCGTTTAATTCATAAAAGTTTTAATATTTGATGTCAGGGTAGACTTTACAAATGAAATTCTGGAAATATTTTTATTCAAAATTTTTTTGATTATTTGTTTAGTTTTTTTTTTCTATTTTTAACATTTAAAAAGATATTAAAAACCTCAAATATTTTGTGCTGGTTCGTTGTTATAAATTGTTATTGCGCCATATATTTAATGTTTATAAATTATGAATATTTATTATCACAATCAAGACAAAAAAATTTTATAATAAAAAAAGTTAACAATTCATTAAATATCTCTAATTAATACTGTCAGTTTATGAAAGTAATTGTTAATAAATACTTTTTTTTGACGGGAAAACAAAAAATGTCATAGCGTAAAAATAACCAGAGAAGTTATAAAATAGTTCCCATTGTTTAAATAAAAATAAGTATAAACCACAATATATAATACTGCGCTCTCTTGCACAGAAACGAGAGACCATATGTAAAACGTTCTATATAATTGTAAAATACTCAAATGAAAATCATAAGATTGGTAAGTAAAGCTTTAATATTTGTTTTAATTTAAAAACAATAGAACTATAAGTAAAATACATAAATCTAAAAATTATTAAGATATCTGTAAAAAATAAGTTGCTCCTATAAAATAAAAATAATTTATTGTTTTTACATTTAACAAATTTTTTTTTGCAATGTTTGAAAAAATAATACAAATAAATTTGTTTTGCTGTATAATAAAAAAATACTACATTGTACTTTTTGAATTAAAGTAGAAAAACGCAGCTTTGTGTGTTTTTCTACTTTAATTCACTTTAAGACTTTTTTTTTGTTAAAAGTCTCCGTGACGTCAAATACTAAAACTTTTATGAATTATATACGCTTCAAAGGAATCGCCTAAGTCTGTAGATTGCGGCGTATTATTTGAAGACTCAGAGTTATTGAATAAAATGGAGAAGGCGAGCTTCGGCTAAAACAATAACATTAATTTTTCACGGTATGCATTCATTATTTATTTTTAATCAAAAAAACTTGGTTCAAACCTTTTTTTTTAACATTATCTTTAACACAAGATGTGTTGGGAGTTTGGGATACCTTTAAATTAATGAACATGCAATTTAAAGTCATTGCTTTAATGTAAAATAAAGAATGCCTACAAAAATCTTTGTAGATACACTTAATACTAAAGATAATGATTATGTTAAAATCTAAAATAATGTTTACAACTTATGATTTATTAAAATTAAATTTCAAATTTTATAGTGATGTTAATGCCATAATATACCTGTTAAAGATTTGTTCATCTTCATTGGTCGAAAATATACGACATGAGCAAAGTAGAGGGATGCGAAAGTTCTTTGCTAAACATTTTTTAAACAGTGAGGGATTTTCAGTGACTGGAAATAGATCTAACTGGTTCTTTTTAATACAGCTTAGAAGATGATTTCTCATTTGCCCTTGTTTAAACATAATGGAAGCTGATGGTATACTTTTATTTTCTAGGATTTGCCGAGCCCAGGCAATGGCATACAATCCGCAATCCAAAAAATTAGTTTGTTGTTGAACAGGTAATACTTTAACTAATATACACTTTTTCTTGCAATGTAAAATAGAACATATTTGCTTTTTCGTCTCGACAGATATAGAGCCATGGAAAAGGCTGTCAAACATAAAAATCTCACCTGGCTTACAATTGTATGTGCTTACACAAATCCAGTGAAGATTCCCGTCATGAAGAACTTGAAAAAAAGGAGTAGACTCATGTGTATTAAAAGCATTGATTTGACCCTTAATGGGATCCTGTAAACCCACGTTAATTTCTAACTGAATTGATATCATTTGCTGGCTAAAATGAATAATTTTGTTATTAAGCATTTGACATTTTTCAATTTCAAATAGTTCAGCTTCACCAATCAAGGACAATTTGAGACTTTGAATACATTGAAACTTAGTTTGAAATTGGACATCGTTATTAACTTGGCTTATGGTGGCTTGAAGGTGTTTGTTGTTTTCAATAGATGTAATTTCTTTAATTGACTCATGGCTAACTGTAAAGATTTTGCAATTTTCTTCAATTGAGTAATCAGTAACAATCTCAGAATAACAAGATTCTGACTTTTCCACATTTACACAAATTTCTTTGGCTGCTTTACATAAGTCATATCTAGCACCAACTCCTTTCATCGTTTTTCTTTTTTGTGTAACTGGGATGTTAATAAGTTTTGGCAACTTTGATTCAGACTTGCTCCAAGTTTCTGGTTAAACTACTGGACGAAGAAGAACCCCTGTTTCAGTTGGAAGACTTTCAGACAAGCATTTTTTAACTTTTAATAATTCTTCAAATAAAGTATCTATTTTTTGTGAGTCACAAAAATATGACAACTGACTAATTTCATTCAATAATTCTCTACATTCTGCTGCAGTGTGGTAAGTAGTTTTAAATGGTTGATTATTATTAATTGGTAATGTTTGCCTAATTTGATCTGAATCAACTATTGTTTGTGGTGCTGCATTGACATTTGTGGGATCATTAACAAAATAAACGGAACCCGGACAATATTCAGTATTTGTTAGACTACTTTCTTCTGACAATAAATCCAAAACAAAATAAGGAGAATTTTGATAAGCCATACCAAAAGCAGACCAAGATAGATTTTCTTTTAAGAATATAGCAAAAAAATGCTTGCATGGATAAGCAGAATTAAACCATGATGGACAAGAACAAGTTGGTAAATGTTCATCATCACCTAGATAGCACTGGTATATTACCCGACTATTAGACTTCAATGATGCAACATTGTATAATCTATCTGTCACAGCATTAATTCCTGTTAGATCTACACCATGCAATTTGTCAATCATTCGCATGCAATGATTAACCAAAGGGCGTGGGCGATTAGTTAAATATGTTGGTACTTTCTCATGGTACTTTCTGTATGATGAGTTAGCTCTTGTGTTTTCATTGTGCTTTCAATTAAAATAAATTAAAACTTGTTTCTTTTACTGAATATTTAACTTGATAAGTATACATTTTTCTACCTAATATTTGCCATATATAAAATATTTATTAAAAAATTTATTAGTTTATGTCATAAATTAAATGCAAAAAGAATGTGCCTTCGAGCAAAGTTTCAAGTTTAAGTTAAACTTAAAGCCTGCATCAATTAAATATAAAAGCAAAAAACGAAATATATTAATTTTTTAAGATATACGTTAGGTATACTATCAAAAAGTATCAATTCTTGATACTTAAAGAACATTTAAACAATGTTAATTAAACAAAGTTAATAACATTTTAACTAATTTTTTTTTAAGTAGTTTAACTTTGTTTCAGTGCAATTAAGGCTTAAATACACTTAATGACATTAATTAATTTATATTACTAATATAAATAAATTAATGCCATCAGTTGATGTCATATTATTACTATATTAATATTATTAATATTTTTGTTCAGACATATTTACATTAAATATAAAATCTTACCAACAAAATCTTTGGGACCTAATGAAGAAACAATCTCACAAACATTACAATCTCCCAAATTATTCTCGTCCATTTTATTCAACTTTTAAATTTTTTTGATAAATACAATATAAATATCAATAAACAAATATAAGTAAATATTCAGAGAAAAAACTTCGTTCGAAATTTTTTATTTCAAAAGTATGGTAATAAAATTTTCGGATGGTTTTGAGACAATCTTTGTGTCATAGTTGATATCAATAAATTTTTCCGTAGTCTGCAAATTTTAAAATCTATGGCACCTCCTTTTGGTGCATGCTAAAGATCGTTAACCATTATATATTGTTTACCAAATTTAAGTTACAAAAAAATTAATGTAATTATTTTGATCAAGATATAAAATGATTAAAAAATGTATAGAAATATAGTAATTATAAGAATTTAAAAATGGATCGGGAACTAGATGTATTCAAAAATTATCGCAATATTAACAATAATATTAAAAAGAGATTTTTGAAAAAACCAAATTTCCTGGAGGCAATTGAGCAGTTTGGTACTCTTTCAAGATTTTTAAAACAACAAGAATGTCCTCAGTATGCAGGTTTTTGTTGTCTTGCAAAGGCTCGATGTGAAAATACATTAAATAATCTTGTTGCCGAAGCAGAAACATTACTTGAAGCAGCTAGGTAAGAATTTTTGAATATGTTTGTATTGAAATGTTATTTTAAGTTTACAGATTTAAGTTTGAAAAATATTTCTTTGGCCAAATGTTAAATCAAACTATGCATTTTTTTACACACTAATACATGAGTTGAAGGAAAAATAATAAGATCTATGATTTACTAGACTTGTTAAGTTTATCTTCAAGACATTTTTTTTTAATAGTATTTTGAAATTAATTAATACAAATGTTATTAACTTGTAAAAAGTATTTTAATGAGTTTAATATATTTAGTTATTTTTTAAACAGATTTTCAATATACTATTGTATGTTCACGTTAAGTATTTTTTATAAAATAATATCTAGGGTTTACTATTTTTATTATTATTATTATTATTATTTTTAAGTTTTTTCACATAAAAGCTGTAAGCAACCATTATCAAGTTGAGAGTTACTAAAAAACAAAGAATAGTGTTAAAGAGTAAATAGTAAAGAAAAAGAAAGTAAGGACAGATACAGTGTAAGGATAAAACTTTACCAGATGACAAGTCAAGCAAGAATGAGTTTTTGAATCATTTACGAAATCTTTACGTAAAATTTTAATTGAAAATTTAACATAATTTTAATTAACTTTTATTTAATAAATGTCAATTTTTAATAAATTTTTATTTTTATAAAGCTTAGCTATCAATATATTTTTAACGTTTTCTTATTAAGCAATTTCATCTTTTAGATATTTTATAAATAATAAAATTATTGATATCAAGTAAACACCTAAGAGTCATCAGAAAAATATGTATGCAATAAAACTACTAATTTAGAACCCTCCTCTCTTGTATGCATTTGTACTTTTTTAGGTAAACCCTTACCTCCATACCTGTGTAGATACTTTATGGACCCCTAATAATACTTAGCATTTCCTGTATTTTAATTGTATTTTTTTAGGAGTAATTAAATTACTTTTTGAATTTGTTCCAGTACTGAAAATGAATAACTGAATTGGAAAGATTTACACATTTTTCTGTGAAAATTCAAAAAAAATTATCTTACAACTAGCTTCTAAAGTTTTATATATAATAGTAAGTAATATTAAATTATTTAAGTACTTTTCCATAATGATAAATTTTATACCAGATTTTTGCAAAAAAGACTAGTTGCCAGCATTATTTGGTATGTTAAAATAGCAATCCAAATGCTAAGTCTTAATTTTTATAAATATGTCATCAACTGTAATAAAATTAACAAACATTGAAGAATTAAATGTATTTGGAGGGTGTATGACAACACAAACAATATGAAATATTGAAAAGTAGAATTTTAAAAATCAATAACAAAACATGGTATACATTGTATAGTGTACACAACATCAATTTAGTGATAAATGATAGTGTTAAAATGATAGTGTTAAAATGATACTGTTAAGAACACTATTTAAATTCAGAATTATTTCACTTAGTTATATAATTTCTATAATAAATTTTGTTGCATCAAAAAAATGGTGGGCTTGTCAAGTAAAATATCTTATGAGTCATTCCATATCAACTCAACCAGCATTTTGACAATTGTTCACTACACTATCTCAGATCTTCCTGAAATTCAGGGCTTGTAGTAAATACAAAGTTAAGCAATTGCTGAAATTACAATGATTTGAAATTACAAGTAAATACAATTCAGGGCTTGTAGTAAATAAAAGTTAAGCAATCTCTGAAATTTTTAGGCCATTTCCTCAAAAACTTTCTGAGATATAATTTTTTAAAGTTTTAAGGGTTGTTGCAAATTCACGTGACTTTTACATTTTCGCGATATTTGAACGTGAATATTTCAAAAACTAAAACAGGTATCAGGCTCAAATTTTCAGCATTTACTCATTTTTTTATGCTGAGTTGAATGGTGTTTTTATATCAAATATAGCTTGCATACAATATCCCTTAAAAATGTCCAAACATTGCACTTTAGACAGTTTTCACCAATATTTGACCCGATATAGCCAAGAACCTATAAAATATGGAATGATGTTTGTCATATTATTAATAAGTACCATAATGTGTTAATTATTTTCATAGAAAGTTCATGTTAATTAATAGTAGTGTACTCATTGTAGGCACATTTATGCATCATGGTCAACAATTTTTGTGCGCATTGCGACCCCCAGATGACCATGTTGACAGTAATTCGCACATTTCATATTTTGCAAACTTATTAACCTCAGTAAATACTAGCTATAGTGAAAATTTCATGTTGGTGTCTTTAGCCTTTCCTACTAAATCAATTGCTAATTAAAACCATATTTCATTTATTTTTTTTTTAATATTTTTTGTACATTAAAGTGTATTGTAGTAAATCATCAAACTGTCAATTAAATTTTATAAAAAAATAGTTAGTTTAAGTTACAAAATCAAATTATAGACTGTTTTTATCAACAATACAAGCAACCATGTAAAGCAATATCAGCGTATGGTGCCAATGCATTTAACTGTTGGTATCTTATCTATTTACACACAGTTCTACTATCAAACAGTTTCTTGCAATTGTCGAAATGCTCATCATTATAGAAATACTGTCTTGCTGAACTGTTAGACAACATTGGTGGTGAAAGATTGCACAGTACTTTAGTGAATGGTATCCAGCAGATATCTTCACAATGTGGCCAAGTTAATCTGTTTGTAGGTGTTTTGTTCATAAACTTTACCAAGATATTTTGATGTTCATCAGAATGTTCTGTTATGCAACCAATAAACCAATCAGTGTCATAAACAACAGCCACAAACTGTCCTGGATGCAAATCTGTTATACTTGGTGCCAGTTCAACTGCCAGGTCAGGTTCTGGTGACATATTGACGATTGTACCCAAGTTATCACATGACAACCTGAATATCTTTCACTTACTGCCACAAACTTGGTGTGACCATGTGCCAGGAACAGTTTGAATTGAAGTAAATTGTTCAACCAAACAGCTACAATGTACCTCAACGTCATCTTTTGCTGCAAAAAAAAAGTGAATTATTGGAATGTTTTTGGTTGCCTAATGGTACATCTGATGTGGCGTTAGTGTTTGATTTTGCAGAGTTGCCTGCAAACTTGCTCTTGCCACTTTTTTCTTTACTGTACCACCAATACCATCACAAGGACTTTTTCCATGACTGGTAGCAAAAAAATTCCACTCCGCTTCAATACCAAAATCTGTTTTATGCACGCACAGATTTTTTAAGTTTTTGCAGTTTTTATATTGTGCTGCTGCTCCATCACTGAAGTAAACTGTTTCAATACACTTTCAATCACATCATCTGGGAGAACTTTGCCATGTTTTTTCTGTGGGTATGCCAAAATTCCACATGACTTCTTCAGTTTTCTTGCTTGCTTAACGACGTGCCTGGTTACTCCGAATTCCTGTGAGACTTTTTGTTGGCTCCAGCTAGATGGTGCTAGTGTTGCCATCTTAATTTTTTCTTGCCTGGAAGCTGTACTGCACTCAATCTTTAATTCAGTCACTAGTTTCGTTAAGTCATTGCAGCCATCACATTCTGTAGCATCACCTTCATTCACAACTAGATTAAGAGGTACTTGGATGACTTTGCTTACTTTCTTCTGGATCTCTGTTGTTGCAGTTGCAATTTTACGTTTGGCATATGAAATTCTACTACGAACAGGCATTGCATAAAGCTTAACTGGTGTGCAGCCAATGCTTGTTATACTGTCATTTAGTTGAGAAAGATGCAAGTCAACGTCTTCTATATCGGTATCACTAGCTGAATGTTCATAACTCTGTTCAGGTTCCTGGAATGTATCCTACTTTCGACAGCTTGGACATAGCTTCTCACCAGATTTGATGTGACTCCCAGTTGTTAGTGTTAGCTCATTGGCTTTATCAATACTGACTGCCCTCAGTGACTTTGTGACTTTGCATTGATGTTTATTGAATGGATCATAACAACTTCGCTGCAATTCATCAAATTTTTCAAGTAGAACCTGTTTGTGGTGGAAGCATATATTGTAGTTCTCTCTTTGTAATTGATCAACAGGCTTGATTCTTAACATCAACAATTCAAAGTTAGCATCAGATAATTCTGACAGGTTATGCAAGCCGACACTGCGTGTATGAACTGTCTTGTGGCATTCATCTTGAAGCAACAGTCCAAATGTGCACAATGGCAGTTCAGCCATATTCAGTAAATATTGAATCTATCTCAAATATAAAAAAAATGTGATAACATATTTTTATAAAAACATTTCTTACTAATTCAACCAAAAAAAAAATACAAATTTACATGCTACTTTCTCATAATTCAATAAAACTTTTAGTATATATTTATAAATGTTTTCTATTAAAAAAATGAAATACCTAAAAAAAATATAATAAAAAAAAAAAAATTTTTTTTTTCATTATATATATATATATTTTTTCTTTATTTTTAAAGTTTTTATTTTATTATGATATCCCATTATAAGGAGCGGCGAATATTCGTTAAAATTCGGATTACGAAGTTTACTGAAAGGCAAAATTGACTTTGGCTTTAAATTTGGTGCCGAAATTGAAATAGAAGTTTTTAAATAAATGTTGTAAATGTTTTTTTGTTTATGTTCATTCAAAAACATTAAGAGATGTAAAGATTCCATAACTTAAATTTTCATTAATAATAAATTTTTTAGATTTTTTATTTTGATGCAAATTGTTTTTTGTAAGCGTATATTTTTTAAATGAATTAAATTTTACTTAGCTTCACTTGTTCTATATCATGTTTTAAATTATGGTTAATTACAAATTGTTTTTTAATAATAACTATAAAGTTATTATTAAAAAATAATAACTTTAGTTTATAAAAAATGATTATACAGCAATCGCAATCGCAAAAAACTTTGTCTCAAAAAAACTTTGTCTTATCCAAGTGAAATATTAGAAACTTCAATTTTAGATTTGTCTCTCTTGATAATATTTAATTGCTAAAATTATGTCATCTTCTTGTTAGACCATTAAGAATAATACATTAGTTTTTTTTGTAAATCGTTGAAGCCAAAATTGTTTTGTGT